CTTTATAGGCTTGTGGCAAATTTGTGGACAAGATCCGGGAATTCCTTAGACTTATAAGTAAAGGGGCAAACGTCTTGCAACAGCTGTTACATGAACACTCCCCTCATTTTGATAATATTTCTAGAAAATTTTTCTTCAAAAATATGTCGTATTATATAAAATCTAGGCAAACATTATATTTGAAGTAAAAGAAAGTTTTTTATGCATTGTTGCCCTTACAAGACTTGTGAAACTTAGGTACGAGCACATTAAAGCCTCCCATCCATAATGCATATTTGACTGAGGTCATTGGCCTCAACCTTATTTGCTTGATTTGTACTTATTTGTAAGCCGACTGAGAAATTTTTAGAAGTGAGAATAGAAGTGGGTCGATTTACTAGCTTAAGTTTACTCAACTGCCCAAAAGTTTGTATTGTATGCTACTCATATATCCTAAGCTAAAAAGTCGAAGTGAACTTCATAATGAGGCCCATTTACATTTTTATATACAACTCTCATTTCATATAATGTTGACTTACATAATTATATCTCCTACTTGCCGCATTTTGCCCTTAAACATTTTTCCCAATCAACTTTCATCATGTAATTATAGGGCAGCGTCCTGACCTAAGCCATGATGGTTCTGAATGGAAGAGAGTTAGAGATATAAAACGCCCTTTGAAATATATGTAAAAAAATCTAAATCGGGTTTCATATATCTCTATTCAATAATTTGAAATATATTAATAATATATTCAAGTAACATTTTTAATTGTGTCACCGCCATCCTTTTATAAACGAATAAATTCACAAGGTATTACCAAGTAATTGTTCACACTGAAATATGTAAGCATAAGCTGTGCGTGATTGTAGAAAGAACAATACAAAAATTAATTAAGATTTAAAGCTTTGGCTACTTTTTTTGCGTAAATAGCTCCATTAATTTACAAACAGCCAGGGCTTATCATCTAAAGACGCTTTGCAATGAAGTTCCACATTGGAGTCAAGCGGAAGTTTGATTGTGCCCATGAATTTTGCTTTACCTTGATCTCGATAGTGCTTTCTCATGCATGATTCAACCTAGCCAGCACAACTTCGGCTTCATCTTACACCTGGATTTGTTTAAAATAGGGCATACATGCTATCTATTAGTCGGCACAACATCTGCTTGCTTAGTTACATTTTGGACTTAAGGCTATGAATTCCATGTTGCCTATTATGTAGATGTCAATACCGTCTGAATGAATTCCGCTAAATACTATATTACTACTTCTTTGTTATAAGTAGCAATTATTATTTACGATTAATATAGACACTTTCTTATTATCTCACTGTATAATTCGCAAACTGCCCTTTTTCGGCATATCAATCTTGAAATAAATGGCCGTTGATTAGATTTGAATGATATTAACTAGTTAGCCCATAATTTTGACTCTTTAATATTAAATACTCAGGAATTGTGGAGGTGCACCCTTTAGTTCAGAGGAACGATTAGATGGAATGTATCCATAAATTTGCCTCACTGGAAACTCATGAAGGTTTACCTCAGAGTAGTGACTTGCTTTAGGTGTAGCAGTTCATTGCACATCACCCTTCGACTTTGTTGAATCATTTCTGAAACATTTTTTATATGTTAATTGTCTTCATAGTTATTATTTGAAAATATTCACTAAAAATTAAGCAACAATTGGTGTTCTGTTTCATTCCTACCTAATAATTATAACTTAATCTTGATTGGGCACACATTTATTTGGTTGGCTATATTCTTCCTTGTTTTGCATGCTTGAAGATGAGTGAAGTTGGTGCGGATATAGCCAAACATATCATTGACGAGGAGCGAGACAAAAAATGCATTAATGTTGCTGAGCTCGAATCAAATGTGTACGATAAAATCGGTCTTCGACAATGAAAGTTTTGATTGTATTTGTGTTATCATACCAAATTATCCTTATCTTGCTTGTTTTATAACAGGCTGCTGCAGCTGGAAAATGGCCCCTAAAATGGTATGCTCCAGAATGCATATACTATTTCCGCTTCGACTCGAAATCCGACGTCTGGAGTTTCGGAGTCACACTTTGGGAAGTTTATTCTTACGGAGATAGGCCATACAAGGTAAGTCATTTGGTTGCTTTGACCTTTTCAGTTTTCTTCGGTTTTCCTGAGTTTATCTGCTTTGCTTTCTCTAAAATCAGAGTTGGTTCAGCCTCCGAACATTTATCATAATCACTGTTAAAGTTACTAATATATAAACCTCAAATAAGCTACCTATGCAGGGCATAAGCAGACGGATCTGGAATTTGTATAATATTTGCGAAATTTCATTAAAGCCTTTATTATTTAAGCATTTTGGGTTGATATTCTTGAGTGGCGGATTTTATCTTGTTTTGGCCACTTGGTCATGTTAACTGAGATAAATAAAAAGCATATATCCCTTAGTTTGGCGTCTGGAATTATTGGCATGTATTCTTTTAGCATCGAACCTTTGAATAGACATATTTCCTAACACCTTGCAGGCATTGAAGTCAGCACCGAATCACAACTTGTCAAAGTGGCTCTTCTTCTTGACGATGCCAACTACCAACCATTTAAATGTCAAGAGAGAGGCCTGATGGCATACAATTGTAGACGGAACACATTATATCTATCAAAGATGATGCAGTAAAGGGCAAATTCTTTGACGATTTCTTGTATCACCGACCAAGAGGTGAAAACAACATAAATTAAATGGTAAAAGTACCTTTCATTTCGTTTTAAGAGGCAAGTGGAAGGAATTCGTAAGTTGGCCTCATCGGAAGCCACACAAGCATGCCCAAATTCAATTGCACACAGCAAGTGTATATTGCAATCCGACAATAGCTTCTACCAACCCATCATTATATATTTCTAAGTAATTTATGTAAGTAAATTAATGGAAACCATTTTGGACCAAACTTATCAAAGCTTGGTAGAGAGGAAATTCTATCTGGCAGAGACGCACTTTCGAGATCTTCAATTGCTGTGAAGTATTGCTGAACTGTCGCCCTTAACTGCATTGAACAGACGTCCTTAAAGCTCGACCTGACCATTTATATCAAATAGAATGATAACTCACACTCAAAGCAGACATTTTAACGTCTTTACCTGGTGTTTTGTATTAAATTAAAGTTATGTTATCGTAAACATAATCCAGAAACACTTAATAAATTTCTTTTAAGGGTGGCTGTAATGGCGTCTGTTTTATTAAAGACTTGAAATTTGAGGTACCAACGACGAAATTGGAATAGGGCTACAGTTTAATAGTTCGTTTTGTTGAGCCTAAAAGTCATCGTGAGACAAGGTTAAACGAAATAGAACGGTACCTCGAGACCCTGATTTCCATCCTGAGCACCTCAAATATCAATTTCTAGACGGTCTTTTCAAGATGGCAGCACAGTGAAATTTTTTACAGGACTGCATAGCTGATAAATTCGTAGTTCTATCTATCATTGTGAAGACTTTAAGTCTGTATGGAAGTACGTGATGAAGAGATTTATAGCTCAATCTCATCAGAAAATGCTGGCTGATTCACGTTGTACTGTAGTCGTTTGGCTTTAATATGACGAGACATCCGCCAACGTATCGGGCGAAGAGGATGTGAGCTTTCGTTTGTCATGTGACAAACATCGTCAGAGTTGCGACTCATTCTTACAAATTCTTTATGCTAACTCCAAGTCAAGAAGACTGGCTAGCTTTTTTTCGATAAGATATGTACACTTATTGCGAGTAAAATTTAAGATATATGATCGAATCTCTTCCTTATTTACTTCCATACGAAATGAAAGTCTCCACAACAATCTTATCTCAGGATCTTCTTCCAAACCGGTATTATATTCTTATTTATTACTGCTAGGCTAGATTTTGTTTCTTGTCAAATTAGTGTTAGGCTGATCTGAGCACATAATGGCTTCAGATCCTCCTGGGTACACTCTTGTTTGGCCCTATTGGAACGCTTAGCCTGACGCACTTTCGAGATCTTCAATTGATGTAAAGTGCTGCTGAGCTGCCGCCCTTTACTGTATTCGAAAAGTGTCACAGGGCAAATGTGAATTTTCAA